AATTTGAATTTCATTGACAACAGTATACCAGATAATATGTAATTTCGTTATTCAGATAAGGTAAAAGATTCACCAAACGTAGAAATTTATTTGTTCACATTTTTTCATTTTGTGTCGAACAGTCTAAAATGCATAATTTGGTTTACATGTGGAATATATTTTTTCAACCACTTCTAACTCAAACATCTTCTACTTTTCTTAAAATTGCCCGAAACTAACCAAACCTTCAAAATCTCTTAAACAAAACGTCGCAAATTGCATTAATTGGATGTATATTACTTCATTACTTACATGAAAATGAGGTCTTCGGCAGCAGGTCTTATATTGTAAACAATTACTATTTTTTCTCCATTAAAACTTCGTCACGCCTTTTCACTTCTTTAGATATCATATTTCACAAAATCTCTTTTTAGTGCACCCCTAGAGTTTCTATTCAAAGAGTAATATTTCTTCTAAATGCACCCTTAAAAAACTCAAGGCATATTCCTTTAAAATTTCAAATGTCTAGAACTACCGATTTAGCTTGTGTATTGTCCGTCAATCAATTATTGAACTGATTTATTTGGATTGATTTCGTTATCAACTGCTTTATTAACGATCATGCTCTCTCATTATTTGATTTTGTCGCATATTCGCAGTAAGCGGTCTAGCATTGCCTTGTAAGAGTATTCGTTTCCGGTTTGTTAAGCCTTTTGGGATAAAAATTCATCAATTCGTGTTAGTTGTTCAGAATATACCAAAGTGATAATTCTATCATTTGAAATTACCTCGAAATACTCATCACTCAAATCGAATCAAGCAAATCACTCAACCATCATAATTCCACCAGACAAATAACATTTCAACTCGAATCGACTTCTTTTCCCAGCGGTTTAAGTTAATTGTCCGTTGTTTGACCAATACATCTATGTTGTTTAGATAAATCCATTTTTTGTAACAAGTAGTAATTCGTTTGAAAAAACGATTACTTATTGATAAGCCCAGGAGTTGCTTACAAACGTCTACTCAACGTTTCGTCTGATCCTCGTCTATTTCATGTCTTTTTTTAAGTCTTTTTAGTTTTTCCTCGAGTGATATAAACAACACTGTAGATTTTATTTACATATTTATTTGCATATTATACAAGAAAAGAAAAACAACCGCAACATAGCGGAATATTTGATTATTAAATATTGTTTACAACAGGAACGAAACGGTTCCGTTTGGAGGTCACAGGGGTAGCTAAAAAGGTAGACGAAAAGGTAGCTGCTAGAGCTAATAAGAGAAGGTAGCTGCTGGAGCTAGGAAAAGATCTTCTCTCTACCTTCCGAAATTCTTTCTTTCTTTTGGGTGTTTCATTCCCACCAGATAGTAATGCTGGTGGGCGGGCAGTCCCTCCGGACTACGCCGGAAGGTAAGGCGTAAGACCCTCTTCAGCCTGCTTTCAGGAATCGTGGGAATGGGTGGGTGGTGGTTCGAGTGAGAAAGTTGAGACAGACGAAATGATGACAGAAGAGAATGAAAGATTATCTGTGGAATATTACTGCCCCAGCATTTGCCTAAGTGATCCAAGGAAACCACAAAAAAACTTGGACCAAGGCAGACGGACCCGGAATCGAACCGGCGACCTCCCGAATGCTAAGCAATGGTCTAAAGCCTTCCGAAATTAAAAACTTTTTTAAAACTTTTGGGTGTTTCATTCCCACCAGCCAGTAATGCTAGTGGGCGGGCAGTTCCTCCGGACTATGCCGGAAGGTAGGGCGGAAGGCCCTCTTCAGCCTGCTTTCAGGAATAGTGGGAATGGGTGGGTGGTGGTTCGGGTGAGAAAGATGAGACGGACGAAATGAAGACAGAAGAGAATGAAAGATTATCTGTGGAATATTACTGCCTCNATTAAAGATAATCACTATTTATTAAGTAAAATATATACAGAACTATAGACAAAAATGAATTTGGCGGTAACAAATGGTCGGTTGGTTGGTACTGTCTCGGAGAGACAGCTTGGTCACTCCGCTAAAAGGTACTTACTGACTGGTAAAAACTGGTACTCCGACTTTCTCCTTTGGTGACAAAAATTTCTGATAGGGGTGAAATTCTTAGAACCTTTGCCGTTAAAATACTTACACATTCAAGGCTGAGGGTTCAAACAATCATAAAAACAGGTACAAATTGTTATTTTGTGTAGCCAAAAGAACGTATTTCTTTTGCTTGAAATGAAAGAGGAAAAATCGGAATATTTGAAATAAATATTAGTTAAATTTTACTTACTACTACATTTAGGAATTAATAATAATATGAATAAAAAAGGTAAAATACTGCCGAACAAAGAGAATAATGCCCGGCAACACTAATAATGCGTTAATAATTACAGATCATAAGAACCGACATTGACAGTAATTAAGAAAGTGAAAGTTAACAACAAAGTAGAAACATTATCTACTTATTGACATTCAATCGCTTTCTCAGGACTTTGATTCCAAACCGCTTATTTTGCCGTTCAAATATCCAATATCCGACTGTTTACAAGTCCTTTTTCTCGATTTATGTCACCCATACTGGCTACAGGGTTTTCACATTTATTCATACCGTAGCAAAACGAAATGCCATGCTGTATTTAAGTAGGATTGATATGCCGTTAAAATGAAATTACAATGGAAAGATGCCCCCCATTAAAAGTAAAATCGACCTTCGCAAAAAAAAACACAGTTGAATATTTTTCAGGTATAAAGTTTTAAATGAGTCACACTGTATCTAGTATAAATAATATTCATTAGGATAATTACTTTGCTTGTAACATATATACAGCATGCTCCCTTTTGATTACGTCATGATAAGGCGAAACAATTACTAAGCGTTCTTTTATACAGCAGGGACCAATCCAATAAATCTTTTTATAAACTCCACTTTCATAAAAGGTTCAGAACAGAACCACAATAAAATAAAAATAGATACAATTCAAAAAGCTTTTCTTTCACTTGCTGCGGCAACTTTATTTTCCAAACGATTCTCTTTATTTTTTAGTAACTATGTAGGCCGTTTCTATCTCCGTTATGGCGCTAGCAAAATAAGCCATACGTTTGCGTCCATTACGACACTAATGGTTTTGTTTTCTAAGCTAAAATGATTTATGTTGGTGGAAAATGCTCCATTATTGTTATTGCTGTGATCGTCCGTGTGATGCCTATGATGGAAGATAGGTAGAACGAAGCAGGAAAATCGTTCAAAGAGAAGATAAAGGACATTTTAATTGCTAGCAGTACAAAGCAAATTCTTGCAAAACTTCAGAAATAAAATAATAATAAAATTTTTAAATTAACAATGTTTTATAAACCACAGCAGCTACTAGGTACTACTAAACAATAAAGATAAAATAAGTAAAATTGGTGAAAGTTAAAATAAATAGAAGAGAGTTGTTGTGTACAAGTTTGGGTTGTAGTCCGGGTAAATCAGGTAGATGGACAAGTAATTAGGGTGCGACGTCACGAAAAAATCAATATCGAAGAGGCTGGTAGACGAATAATTCTATGAATAGACTTTTATGAAAATTAACTATGTGGTTACAACACGAGGAGGGAAAATCTTCAAAAAACATCCCCTGAATGGAGTAGAGAGATCAACCCGGAAGTTATACTTCCCAGGTTCTCAAGGAAAAGGGGAGTGCAATAGGAATTAGTGACCCACATCTGTTGAGTTGGGTGGGTACTCGCTCTAAAAAAGTGAAACTAGGACTAAGTGGAAGGGAAGCAGCTCAACGTAGAAGGTGGTAGGGCCTTCTGAAACGATCAGAGATTTGCCACGAATCTGATTGCAGCATCGGGGAGTGAAGGTAGACCAGACACGGTGGCTGCGGCATTATTAGTGTATTGCTTTAGGCCAAATATTCGTGCACAATGATGTGTGACCAGAGGCGTTATCATGGTGCAGAAGTTTCTAGCAAGTAGTATTCCTTATTGACCGTTCTATCCTGTGGCAAGAACTCATGATGTACCACGCCCCTGCAATCGAAGAAAACTATTAGCAAAACCTTCGCAATCGACCTAATTTGGCGTGCTATTTTCAGCATTGGCGACAGCTTCCATTGGGATGATTGAGCTTTGGTTTCCACATCATAACTATAAACCCATGATTCGTCGCCAGTTATGACCAGTTATAAATTTTGGTACGAATTTCGCGGCGACCCGTCTCATGTTAAATCATTGGTAAACATGACAGAAGCCAATGGATATGTTTAGGCCCTTAGCAACTTCTCTAATGGTGATTCGACGATTAGCCAGTACTAGTTTCTTCACTTCATCAATGTTTTTGTCTATTGTTGACGTGCTCAGTCGTCCGACACGATCTTCGTTGTTCACATCGTCTAGGCCCTCTGAGAACATTTTGTAGCACCGATAAACATTGCTTCGGCCCAAGGTAGCTTCGGCGTACGTAATGTTGACTGCGAACATTCGGACTTAATTTTGTTTTCCACACAAAATTTAATAAAGATTCTTTGATTAATTTTTTGGAATAGACAAAAATCGAAGACAAGCCAAAACACGTGTAAGCAAAGCAGCTGTCAAAAATTAACTGAACATTCAACATGGCCGAACTTGTCGTTATATGTAAGAGGCATGAGTACCAAATAACGCCACAAGAAAATCGAAAATATACGTAACCCGCGGAAATTTAAAATTCGCGATGTTGTTTTAACAAACCTCGTACATGAATTTCACCTTTTACGGTCTAATAATCGTTTTTTAATATCGTTGGTTGCGCGAAGTCAATTTCTCTTGCAGAGGAAGTTGATCTCATCGACCTCTTGATGGTGACGATATTCGCTAGAAGGTATTGTGCGTTCAATGAAAAAAGGCTCTTACCGGTTAATGCCCTAAGTGCATTTCGACACACTGCATTAACATCAACATCAAAATGAAAGCAATCGCTTCAGCTACGCTGAAAATAGTAATGACTGCTTTAAATAGTGCGCTTTTTCGAATACGTTAGACGTCAAGGGCATGAAACGGTAGAGTGAAATACAGCTGTCGGGCGCGTGTAGACAAAATGTACGAGTCATTTGTCAACATCCAATTTTGTTTTTTGTACCTACTGGAAAAAATTTTATCGATACGGTATTCTGTAAAGGCAAAAGTCCATGAAACAAAATAAGAACCGGACAAAAAATAGTAGAGTCGATTTCATTGTTTTTTTTGGATATCCGAAAAAAAACTGAAAAACAAATTACTTGAAGATTCTAAATTGGATTACTGAAGGTATTGTCCTTTTTATACGGTAATATGCATTAAAGAAAATGCTTGTCTGACAGATATTAACATTACAACTACTTTTTCTTGGTCCTTTTTTGGTTGAAATATATGTTTAGTGTTAAACAAGTAGACAAGAGAAGAGGCGTCCAAGGGATTAGCATTGGTGATTTTTTTCTTATGTCAAGAAAGGAAGCGAAAAAAAGTAAGTCACAAGTTTTTCACATAAAGTGATCTATGATACACAATAATGATGCAACACTCACAAATAATGCAGAAGTTCGTAATTTTGATTTAATTATAAAAAGTGACAATTATTTCTTGACANAATGTTTTATAAACCACAGCAGCTACTAGGTACTACTAAACAATAAAGATAAAATACTACTTGAGAATTTTTCGAGAAAAAGTGCATTAATAATTAGAAAAGTTTATTTTCGGGCTTTTTGGTCATAGTTGAACAAGGTTTTTAATCTTCAACGTTTCGTCAATTCGCGTAGACTATATCTTCAGAAGCGTCTGTTCCTGGGGGGCGTAGACCAATGCCCGCGGTCATGTTTATATCGATCTGGTGTAGCGTGAAGATGGGTCATGGGTGCACAGTGGAGAGCAGCTTTGAGTTAAAGTGGTTGCTTCACATGAAGCACATCCGTCCAAACAATCACTGTCAACCATGTTCGAGTTGACCGATCTTAGATGTTACTGAATTTTTCTAATCGGCTTTAAAATATATCTTGCAAGGAAACGTCTTTTTGGTTAACCCTAGAACGAAGGACAATAAGGTTTTTATTATAGAACTCCCGCCTTTTCTTGTTTAACGTTTATTAGTGTTGAAACATTTTCTTAGTTCATGTTTTGTATAGTCGTCTACCTGTAGGGGTGATGATGGGTAGTAAGCTCTTCAGGTTCATCCATCTGGCACTTTTAACATAGATGGTGATTTGAACCTTTCTGTATGTAGGTATTTGTTTTGCCCGTGTAATTGCAAAAGTTGCGTGAGGTATTTAGACAGTTGGTAAGTAAGTGAACCCATAGCACTGACAAGCCGGAGTGCGATGTCTACTTTATGAATTTTTGGTAAGCTATACAGCGTGATTGTGATGGTTTCGCCCAAGTGCAGACCGTTTTTCACCTCAAAAAGTAAGAAGGAGACTTTCTCGGTAATTGCGTCTTCTTGTGATGGCCTGTATTTGTTCGCTTTTTATTTTTCTGCACGTGATAGGTTCCAGCACATCTTACATCCAAATATTCCTTTAATCCAAATTTGTAGATACGTAGACCACACATTTGTGATTCGGTACCATGAGGAAAATAAGCTACATGAATTTCTGGAACATCAAATTCCTTGTATACGAACATTAAATTCACCAAGGAAGTAAATTCGCAAAGCCTTTCTGAATTTCAACGTTACCAGAAGAGAAACCAAGCTTGGCCAAATCGCCTACCGAAATCGTCACAGGAATCGAGACATTAGACCACCATCCATGTCAAATGTTAGGAATTATAAAAAATTAAAGAACACACAAAACATGAAATAAAAAAATGTTTTAATTGCAATAAACGGCAAACAAAAATAAAAGAAGCTGCATGGCGAAAGGCTTCTTGCTGTTTGTTCCAGGACTAACCGATCAAGACAGCCTTTTCTTTGCACGATACGAAATTAAAGTCGTTCCATGCCGGTGTCGCCCTTTTCGCTTTTCGAAGCTCGGCTCTGACACTGCTGTGTGTTTATATTAAATAATTTCTTTAATTTATGGCCATGACGCCCAAAAGATTGAGACTGTAACTTTTTGAAGCCTTGTTGAAATTCAAATAACTCGAATTTCGTATGGTTTCAATTTTATGGTAGGTAATCATGAAATCCTCCGTACTCAATTAAAAGGTAATCCACTGCTTACCGAACTAGCTATATATTTGTTAATGTAGTAGCTATTGAGTTTTTATGTACTTATCTATATATTTTGATAATCGAAAATTTGCAGTTTAGCGGGTGTTATGGGTCAATATGTTCGCGCGTGTTTTATTTGAGGGTGGTCTTACCCCGAGTTAGGCGTCATGGTACTGTAACCTTTTATTTGAAAGACAGCTCGAAGATGACAGTGGCAGACTGCATTAGTGAATTATTAGACTGATCCCAGAAAGATCATATTACATATGTACATGCGAACGTGCAGAGTAATTATAAGATTTCTTGCCATTGGACAATTTGAATGTATCAGTTACGTTAAATTTGGATTCTATTGCTTAAGGAATAGATAGGGGGAAAGTTTTTATAGCCTTGAGTTTGTTTCAATTAGTAGAGTAAGTAATAGTACTTTTATCCATCTTTTAACGTTTAACTTTAATAAGTTCAACTTAAACACCGTCCCTTGTCTGCATTGTGAAACAAAATATCCAATAGTAGCTATTACGTACGTAGCGATCTGTACATATTGTAAATATTTAAATTTTGTTCTCTAAAATTTATTTTATTTCGAAATCTTTACTTTCAACTTTAATTTCAAACTCTTAAGCATGCTNCAAATATAGGATTGATTTCATACATAACAGTTCCGTTTTTTCAATTTTGGTATGTATGAAAACATTTATTAAGGTATATACATATATAGGTACACTCGCGCTCTTAAATAAATCGAGTGAAAATCTGATAGAGTTTCCACAGACTACAAACCATATGTATGCATGCCATTCGTGCTACATCTTCTCCCCACATAAAAAATGACCCAGCAGACATCTACTTTTGCGAAAAAAATACGATGATTGATGTTAGGTCTTTACTTATCTATATATTTTGATAATCGAAAATTTGCAGTTTAGCGGGTGTTATGGGTCAATATGTTCGCGCGTGTTTTATTTGAGGGTGGTCTTACCCCGAGTTAGGCGTCATGGTACTGTAACCTTTTATTTGAAAGACAGCTCGAAGATGACAGTGGCAGACTGCATTAGTGAATTATTAGACTGATCCCAGAAAGATCATATTACATATGTACATGCGAACGTGCAGAGTAATTATAAGATTTCTTGCCATTGGACAATTTGAATGTATCAGTTACGTTAAATTTGGATTCTATTGCTTAAGGAATAGATAGGGGGAAAGTTTTTATAGCCTTGAGTTTGTTTCAATTAGTAGAGTAAGTAATAGTACTTTTATCCATCTTTTAACGTTTAACTTTAATTCAAGCTTCCTGATTATAATTAATTTCTCTGTTTAAACGATTGCTAATTGACATATTAACCTAGTGGGTAAGTAGGTGTTAACTTATAGTTTTAAATGAATAATAACAACCTAAATAATAATTTATGGATACTATGTTACAACAACGTCTATATAATTCAAGATGACTAGTGGGGGAAAACTGCAACCTGTATCAACTAATCCAGATTGCTACTCAGAAGTTAGCCGTCAAATAACAATTAGAAAGAAAGTTTATTGAGATGAATGCAGTCTGCTATTTGATTACTAGTCCTCTAAAGTCCCTACTAGTCATCTAAAATTATATAGATTATGCAGGGTGTTTTTGAAATAAGTGGTAACTTTTGGAGGGTATTAACCAGATGTAATAAGAAAGCTCATTGTGAATACAGCAACGTGGTTAGGGGACAAAAATATTTGTAAGAAAACTACAACTTACAATCTGAAGTGAGCATGATTGGTTCCAGGGGCACCACTAGGGATACATGCATACGTGCATTAGAAATTTTTTTCAAAATTAAAACCGCATGGTAGAAGGGAGGCTTCATAGCACCTTATTTTCCACTCGCGCAAAAACATCAGACATTACACGGTCCTGTACATTATTAACATGTGCACTGGCGTTTGATACGCACCCCGTTTCATGCAATCCCATACAAAGAAGTCATGTGGAGTTAGATCCGGGCTACCAAGAATGCAAACATCACCCTATACGAAAAAATAGTGTTTGAAGCTCTTTATTACCAACTGACACAAATTCCCAATCCATGGCTTGCACTCGCTGTAAAGAAGTCTTTTCTGGGGATATCGATGACCTTCAATCCTTCTATCGTTGCATTGACATTTCATTCGCATTCGCTGTAAATTAATATCATATCACAATGTTCTGCCTATGAAAGTGACATGCCACCCACTGTCAATAACTTCGGTTGACTGCATACACACAAGCTTACAACGTTAAAACAATGAAGAACTACTGTAGGTTGGCCTCTTCATAAATTTCATCAATCACATGCACTCTAACCTAACAAATAACAAACCATGCATGAGCACAAAAAATATAGTAAAAATACAGCACGGATGCAGCTAATTACCTACCAGTTGATTAAATCAGACGTTGCAATGTCGTATTTCTCTGCATGAGCTACCAGCGCTGGACTAGCCCTTGCCTCCACTTTCAAATACGTTTTCCTTAAAAGTAGTGAACTTTCGGGCTATCAAACATTTACTTAATTTTCTTGTTTTATAGTATCTTATTACCTCTTGTAAACCTGCTACTTATTTCAGAAGCATCCTGTATATGCGGATCGCGATTTCGATCTTTTTGGATCTCATCAGCGCGCGCAGGCAGCTCCGACAGAACACAGACCAACTTTTACCTGCTGTCTTAACAGTGCATTTCAGAAAATACTACAAACGGCACAGTGAACGCCATCTGTAGCACGATGCTACATTTTAGGATTACGTATTTTTCAACAAGGTCCACTTGTGTGAATATCTACTTGCTGAAAACGAATCCCGGCGTAGCCAACCTCAACGTGATAGGCACGTTAGCTTAATCGAATAAAATAATTCGAAGTGGTCTGTATTCTGTCGAAACTGCCAGACGCGGATCGCGATTTCGATCTTTTTGGATCTCATCAGCGCGCGCAGGCAGCTCCGACAGAACACAGACCAACTTTTACCTGCTGTCTTAACAGTGCATTTCAGAAAATACTACAAACGGCACAGTGAACGCCATCTGTAGCACGATGCTACGATTTTTTATATAATATTTGTCTATACTGAATTTGGACTGAAACAATTTGAATTTCTTTGACAACAGTATACCGGATAATATGTAATGTAATTTCTTTATACAAATAAGGCAAAAGATTTACCGTAGAAATTTATTTGCCCACATTTTTGCATTTTGTGTCGAACGGGCGAAAATGCATAATTTGGTATACATGTGGAATATATTTTTTCAACCACTTCTAACTGAAGATACCTCCTACTTTTGTTAAAATTGC